GGTTAAGGTTTAGGTTAATGAGAATATATGTGTAATCAGCTTTGAGGAAATCCACTCATTCAATTTTGAGACACACAAAAACCCCAGAGATGTGGAGCTTGTAGAGGCTGTAGAGCAAAGGTCCAGAAGTCACCAGAGACTGTGGGGTTCATCCTCTGGGGTTCAAGAACGTCGATATGACATTTAATGACAACTCCTCAGATGGTTGCTGACATATTTGAGTTTGGACAAACAGAGCCCGTCCTGGCTGAGGACAAAGATAAGAAGCAGCTTTGAACACAGGGTGAAAACACTGAGTCTTTGTTGTGAGCACACTGGAATCACATCATGTTTAATTCATAGTGAAATAATTCACACGCAGACCAGGACAACAGCCACCCACTGAAAACACTGGACATCACACTGAGAGCTTTTAGTGCCAGCAGAGGGGACCACTCAGCAGTGTGTGTGTGTGTGTGTGTGTGTGTGTGTGTGTGTGTGTGTGCGTGTGTGTGTGTGTGTGTTATTACTTCAGAACCTTTCTGCACTGTAAAAATAACACCATATAACTGCCCAGGTAACTATGACTTTGTGAATCAGTGAATAAAGAACATTTACTGGTTTGTAAACTTAGCAAAAACTTTATCATGTTAAATTTGAAAAAGTTGCTACTTTTACACATGTATATGTCAAAACAAAAAATGTGTCAGCCGAGCGTGGATTATGATTAAAACTAGATTGCCTACATATACAATATGTGTTATGTCAGACAGAAGGACCCAAACGCAGACACAGACAAATTAAAGTGAAATCAAAGAGTATGTTTATTACTCAAATGACAGGTGACAAAGAGTTGCAGGTTTACAGTGTGGTGGAAGCTGGTGAGTGGGCAGGCAGGTTGGTTCTTTGGTGGCAAGCGGACAGGATCTGAAGAGACGGAGGACAAGCACCAATTAGCAAACAGGCAACAGGTAACAAGCAAGATCATCACAGCTGCCTGTCCACGCTGACTGTTGTGCAGCAGTTGCTGTTTGCAGTGTTGTGCCAGTTCACACTTAAAAAGAACGAGTTCAAAGTTCAGTTCATGCAGATGAAAATGAACTACTTCACTTTCATAGTTCATTTTTTATTGGGATGATTTAGAAACAAACGTACGATCATGTGTTAGTTATTAATCGACGATGGAGGCCAGTTGAGGTATAAACAGGGTTAGATAATTACTGCAGGAGTTTGTGTCCGCTACCACTCTGCAGGGGAAATGTGATGTCACAACTAAACCTAACTTCTCAGAAAAATCAGAGTGAAACATTTATTTGTTGTGTATTTTGACTTTTTAGTTATAAACCATGTCACATCCAGTTGTGACAACTGGACAAAATGTACTCACAACAATGGTTCTGTAATAAAATTGGTCCTCTAAAGTATTAAAAGCAAGATTACACCCACACCCAAACACGTGCACGCACGCACACACACACACACACACACACAACCTTTAGCCCTCAACGTCCTCTGCTCCTCCCTCAGTAATAAGGAACAGGTTCATAACAGCAAATTCATAGGTCAAGGCCAGATTGTATCTTAAATGTTCTCAGGACTGGAAAACATACATACACGCACGCACGCACACACACACACACACACACACACACACACACACACACACACACACACACACAGCAGCGCCTGGAAAAACACAGCTTGCTCACTAATCGCTCAACAATATATAAACAAAGTGTTACCTCTGTGCACACACCAACATTTATTTCTATATTTTGACACACACAGATACACAACCCTAACACAAACACACTTGCATCCTGGTTCAAACCACACACAGTGCATTCAGAGAATATTCCCTACCCTTCCCTCTTCTCACATTTTGTTATGTTACACACTTCTTCCATACAGACTCACAGACTTTTAGCCTTCCTCATATATTTTGAGTTTCTCTTTCACAACCTGTTTCTGATTTGGTTTATTGTGAGTAATTTGTACTTTTACAGCACACTCTGAAGTTGATCTGAGTGAGGAAGGGGCAGGTTCTGAAACCACAAACACACACACACACACACACACACACACACACACACACACTTATTTGGAGCCAGACTGTGGGAATGGAGTCGTTCCCAGCTGTCAATCATGACGTTTCACCCTCTTTATAAAACTACAGAAATCCATAATTAAAAACCACTTGAATAAACATCAGTGGGATAAGAACGACTTAAAATGACGTGTGAAAAAATATTCTTTCCAACTCTAACCCCATCCACTTACATGGAGGAGACAGGGTTTGTGAGCAATACGGCAGCCAGCGACCAGAAGGCGATCCAGACTGTCGTGTTACAGTCTATGTATGAACCTGACTTCAACTCGCATGGTTTGTCAGTGAATTAACAGATAGCGATTCGGTGCCTTGCTCAATGGCACCTTAACAGGATGAGGTGTCTGTCCCTGTGACCTTTCGGACAGATGGTCTGTGTAGCGATACACAAATGTTTGTTTGTGTTCAGCTACACCTAAGCTCCTCCTGTCTATTTAAACACACAAACACACACACACACACA